TTGGTTTGTTTGGGGAAAAATCTGGAGAAAGACGAACGTGCGAAATCTAGAGAGGAGTGTTTATTTAGGGTAAAAGTGACGGAGCTGTGATGTATGAGTAGGTGACAGATATATGACACGTGTGGAGTATCTTGTTGTGGAGCGTGTCTGTCTATAATTGGTAGGAAACTGGAATCTGAGTTTTGTATTAGTGAGTTTTAATTAAAAAAACATTAATAATAGTCCTAAACTTTTGTTAATAAAATTGACCATTTCTCTACATTAACAATCAATTTTTATACGATTTTGTCACATAATGTGGAATCGCTTTCTTTTAAAAAACAACTTTGATGGTAATGTTTTTTTTTTCTTTTTTCGAGTTGGTTTCCTTAATACAACTATTTATAACGTTAATTACCCAAAATACTAATATCATTGTTATCGCTATCATAAACTACTTGTGACATAGTAGATGACATAAAAGAGATACTAATATTAGTATTTTGGTTAAAAGGCTAAAAGCTTGTAATTTACTATATCGATTAAACTAAAATTCCTTTCCTTTTAAAAAAGAAGTAGATTTATTAAGTTTGCTTATGTGTTTTAATTTCATTACTTCAAAAAAAATGACATGGTTTGTCAAAAAATATGACATGGCTTAAATTTGAACTAATTAATTAAAATAATAAAACTAAAAAATTGAAACAAAACAAATTGGGATTTTTATTTGGAACAAAAAAAACTCCTAAATAATCTCCAATTGCAACGTTTTTTTATTATAACCATANCAAATTCTAATCTTAAAGCAANATAAACGATGNTATTTTTAATTTTTGAAAATCTATTTACAAACTTTTCATTTTTCCCCAAATAATTTACAATATTATACTGCATTAACTCCAATCATATCTAAAAAAAATAAATTTGCAGACCAAACTTCAATTCTCAAGTTAATATAATATATTAAGATATAGGCTTTATAAATCTATAATTAGTGGCATTTTTATAAATGGACACCTCTAAATGGCATTATTGCAAATATGCACACAAAAAGTGGCATTTTTGTAATTGCCTCATAATTATATTAACCCAC